CCTGGGGGATCCACAGAGGAAGATCAAGCCCATTGGAAGATCAAGCCCAGAAGGAGGAAAACTTTTGAATATAGGCCCAATGTAATCAGTTAAGAACAATAATGGTAATGGCCTATAAATAGACCATTACAGATGGAAAATAGGAGGAGAAGAATTCTAGAGAGAGATAGAGGGAAAGAAAGAAGAAATGAAATCTTGCATCTTCACCCGCAATGATAACACTCAACATTTGCAAACTTGTTGGGCTTGCTTCTGTTGTTATCTCTGTTCTTCGGACCTTTGCTCTTACTTCTCCCCCTCTTATCTGTAACCAAGATCTCTGACTGTGAAGAGGATCCCTGTGTTTTTCTTCTCATCTCTTCATTTAGCAAACAACTTTTGGCTATATCCATTGTGATTACACCTTCTGGAGCGGAGTTAGACAATGAAGTTCTGAGCGTCTCCCATGAGTCCGGTAATGAACCAAGCAACCATAACCCTTATATCTCATCATCAAACTTAATACCCATTCCAGCCAGCTGATTAATAATTCCTTGGAATGTATTCAGGTGATCAGATAAAGGAGTCCCGTCCTGGTATCTCAAAGCCATCATCTGCTTAATCAGAAATAATTTATTATTTTCAGTCTGTCTAGCATATAGTTGTTCAAGCTTACTCCATAGAGAACGTGCATGTGTCTCTCCACTAATATGGTTCAAAACATTATCATCTACCCGTTGCCTGATATACCCATACACCTGTCGATGTAACAAAATCCATTCCACATCAGATTTGTTTTCTGGTTTTTCAGCACTAAACACCGGTAGGTAATAATCTTTCACATAAAGAAGATCCTCCATTTTTCCTTTCCATATGTGATAATTTGAACCATTAAAATTAATCATTCTACTCGTATTTGCTTCCATAACTCAAACTGCCAACCTGGCAATCTTTCAACCTAATGCTCTGATACCACTTTGTTGGGAGAGATGACAATAAAAAAACACAGCGGAATAATTCTTCTCCCTATATGCAAGCAAATATAGTATATCTCTACTTTTATATGTGCTGAAAATAATAGAGAACACCAAGCCACAAGAACACAAGCAATTTTTTACGTGGAAAACTTCCCCAGTGTGAGGAAGAAAAACCACGGGACCTAGTCCAGTTAAAATCTCCACTATCAACCAAATAATGGGTACACAAAGTCTTCTCTAATTATAATTAGAGGCTACAAAACATCTCATCAAGATAGCAACAATCTTGGCAAAAAACAAAGAGAATTTGAGAGAAAATTACCAAAACCAGGTTACTGTTCATGGGCACGAATCACTATTCCCGAGCTCAAAATATGATCTCTACCGTTCAGATTGTGCGTCACTGAGTCATGAACCTCTCCTCCAAATTTCAGCTTGATTGGACCACAAATGAAGTAGGATCGGACGTTTGATCAAACCTGGGCAGAATGGAAAAAACCTGCGTTTTTTTTCTCTTTGTTCTTCCACTTGCGGGTAACCTCTCTCTCTTTTTATACTAACTTCCTTAGGGTTTTTTTTTTTCCCTAAAGTTTGGGCTTTGGGCTTTTAATAAAACCAACTTGGGCTTTCCTCCATATAGAAGGAAATAAACCCAACAGGTTCCTCGTGCACAAAATCCGGATCAGGGTTGTCGTGCCAAATCAAGTAGAACTCATCACCATGGAAATGAAGAAATTGTATTGCAGAACCGCGGCAATCCCAAAAGTAAGTATGCACACCCACAATAGGCCCGTAAAAGAGTTTTTCATTATCGAAATCGTAAGCATATAAGCCGCATTGACGATAGCGGTTTTCCACACTCTTAATCCAGTAAAGAGTGTTATCAAACAACATAGGGTTGCTCCTACCCACAACATAACAATCTGGAGTGGTTGGCATTGGCATTGGGCGTGGGGTATTCCAAGAAGCAGCTCTGACGTTATAGGCAAGTAAAAAACCATTTATAAGAGAACCCAAAAGAACCCTACTTGAAGTGTCATCATACACTGCGAAGACATGATCATGAATGGCTTTAACTTGTAAGAAGGGCAGTGCCTCTGGAGGAATTGGTGGATTAATGGGCTCCCACTTATTCTTGCTCGGGTCGAAAACCTCGCACAAATATTTATCAGCAGTGGGTTTAGCAGCCTTGTCAATGCCGCCAAAGACATAGATCTTACCATCAGCAACTAATACTGCCCTGGTAAAACTGAATTCCCTTCTAATAGAATAACCGGCTTCCCTTTTAATGTTCATTGCAGCAACTGGTTCCCAGCGGGGAGTAGTAGTGTTGTTGGTGATGTCGCGAGAGACGTGTTCACCATCAACAGAACCACCGCAGTATATAGTGGAGCCTATATCTATACAGTAGCTACTCCGCCGAATCGGCTTGTCGGCCAGGAACGGTTTGATATAAATCTCTTTTCCCCCTCCTATATTCTTCTTCCTCTTCTTCAGACTGCAATAATCCTTGCTTGATAATTTAATTGCGTACCATTAAGTCACTGGTAAACCATCCACACACATACTCCCACAAAGATAAATACTTTTTTCGACCTCCTCCTCCTCCTCCTTTTTTTCCTTTGGCGAAGACCCGGACTTCTTCCGGGATGATTTTTGTTAGGCGCTGAATGTGACGCATTTTAGCCCCTTAACTTGCATGTCATATTCAATTTGTAGTAGTTTATTTTAGATTTTACATTGTTTTATTATTTTTACTTATTTCAGGACTTTAATTGTAAAATCAGTTAGGACTAGTGATTCTGAGATTTAAAAGATGACATTTCGTGGGACCGAGCAACATTGAAGATCCAAGTCTAATTATACTTAGAAAATAGTCCAAAAGAAGCCACAAGTTGAGAAGAATGGAAAGAAGAACAAAAAGAAAACTCCTTCTCCAAAAAGGAAACTTTCGCCAAAGTTGGTAGCTCAAACCCATTTTGGTAATCTGGCTATATCTCTCTCCTCGAGCGTCAAAGCAACTAAATTCCCACGTAAGTTTAAAGGAAATTTGAAGAGCTACAATTTTGTATTTCATGAGGATTCCCTAAAACAGCTGTTTACCTTGTCAAAATTGGCCTAGAAGTCTGTACAAATTTTGGAGTCCTATGTATGTCTCCTATATGAAAAAGGGAACTTTAGGGCTGATCTTTTATTATTTAAAGGGGGGGTCCTCTACAACATTGGACGATCATACAGAGGAGCTTGAAGCTACGATCAGAGAGGAGCATTCAGAAGAAAGAAGAGATCAATCCATGGCGGTGAAGATGTCTTCCTCAACCATGAAGAATTCCACTCCAGTCATGCTTGGCTAAACGCTTTGCTAGGGTTATGATGTAGCCTTAGCTTAGCACCCTGGTTTGATTGTATTTAATTATTGGAGAATAATTTTTATCATGCATGATTGTGTAATCTATAGGGTTTTTAATTGAATTTTCAATAAGAATCGGTTTTAAAGTTTTAATTCAATTACAAATATTTTTCTATCTTGTCTTAGATATTTTAATCTTGTGATCGAACACAACTCATTCACTTCTTGTAGTTGTGAATGATATGATTACACAATGGTTTTTATCTGAATATAATGTTAGAGATTTGATGGATTATGCCTAGAAAAGATAGACCATGCTACACCCTAGCGTAAGGTAGATAGGTAGATGGTTTATGCCAATTGAAGATAGTCCATGTTTAGCTTTAAATTATATTATTTTCTAGCTGAATTAATATGTGCTTGAAGCCATGATTAATTCCCTGTGCATGTTATATATCTCCAATAAATTGATACAATTAACTGGTGGTGTGACGTTAGTGGTGAAATCATACCCCTAGTCATCTCTCTCTATTTTCTACATCCTATTTAATCATTGTTCTTTAGTTTATTTTATTTTCTGTTTATTTAATTTAGAATTAATCATCATAATTCGATTATCCTACTTTCAAGTTAATTTGGAATTTAAGAAATCTGTTGACAAACTTATTTTACACAAGTCCTTTGGGTATGACACCCTTACAAGTAAACCCTATTTGCAAAGATTCGTGCACTTGCGAGTGGTATATATAAATCTCACAACAATTTTTTAGCGCCGTTGCCGGGGACTTGTTTTAGTTCTTGACAGATACTATTAAATTCTACAATTAATTTCAATTAGGATCTTAGTTTAGGATTTTATTTTATTTTATTTATATATTTTATTTTGATACTGTTTTCTTTCAATCATTGCAGGTGACATTATATGTTTGGAAGACATTCTTTGTCACTCCCTCAGCTTCCGTTAGACCCAGAAATTAAAAGAACTCTTAGAAACTTGAAGAAAGAAAAGATGGCGGATGGTCCACTAGTTACAGAAACAGTTCGCTGTTTAAAGGATCACTACAAACCTGGTGCATACAATTCTTCATCTGCAGTTACTGCCTTCTTTTTACGGCCTATCAAAAGAGGATCCATACCGGCACTTGGATGACTTTGTAGAGGTGTGCAGAACAATAAAAATCCAGAGTTTTGACGATGATGTGCTCAAGCTACACGTTTTCTCCTTTTCATTGAAGGACAAGGCGAAGGATTGGTTTAATTCATTGCCAGCTGACACCATCACTACATGGGCTAAATTGCAACAAAAGTTTTTAAATAAGCATTTCCCCATGGTGAGAACTACTCAATATCGAGATGCTATTACTCGTTTTGCTCAAGGGCCTGACGAGCCTTTTTATGAGGCTTGGGAAAGATTCAGAGACCTCCTTCGGAAGTGTCCTCATCATGACATGCCAAAATGGCAACTTGTCAACTTCTTTCATAAGGGGCTCAATGAGGCACAAAGGTATATGGTGGATGCCTCTTGTGGTGGAAATGTTATATTGAAGAGTGTAGAGGAAGCATGACAGCTTTTCGAAAATCTATCTGATAATTCTACACAACATGTCTTACCTCCAGTAGCAAGACCTCCTACTATATTGAGTAGAGCAGAAAGTGTGAATGAAGCAGGGATAAATCAAGGGCTAGTAACCCAAATGGAGGCATTAACCAAGAGGATAGATCAATTGATGACTTCACAGTCAAATTTTACTCCTCCTTCGACTAATGCTCAAGGCTTTGAAGTGTGCTTTTTTTGTTCCGGTCCAACTCACCATGTGTCCATTTGTCCAAGTGCAGCTCAATATTTAGAAATTCCACACGAGCAAGTTAACGTTTCCTATGGAACCCCCAGAGGGAATAATATGTATTCAAACACTTACAATCCGGCTTGGAGAAACCATCTAAACTTTTCATGGAGAAATCCAGCCATAGGGACATCAGCTCCTACACCTCAAGTACCTCAGGTGCAAGGTAATTTTCAATCTCAAGTTCAGACTTTAAATCCTCCTGGATTCACTCCTATGAATGCCTTCAGTCAACCTCAACAATTCTTATTAATGCTCGAGGCAATGATAGCAAAGCAGTTAGAGCCAACTAATCAACTTGTGCAGTCTCATTCTCAATCCCTTGCCAAGTTAGAGACTCAAGTTGGCCAACTAGCTCAAGCCTTGAATAGAAGAAAAGATGGCAAGCTTCCTAGTCAACCAGTAGCTAATCCAAGAGGTGTGCATATAATTGATGACATTACTGGCCAAGAAGTTCACCATGAACAAGTGCAAGCAATTACTACTTTGAGAAGTGGTAAGAGAGTTGAAAACAAGGTGAAAGAAGAGGAAGCAAAGAAAGATGAAAATTGGAAGAAAATAGTTGAAGAGAAAAAAGAGCGTAGTGAAAAAGTACAAGAAGTACCTCCACCTACTGAGCCATCTAATGAGCAGAGGCATGTTGTTGTGCCATTCCCTCAGAGACTACAAGAAACATCAAAGGCAGCAAAACAAGCAAGTAAACTTCAGGATATAATGGAGATGTTCAAACAGGTGAAGATTAATCTCCCATTGCTTGATGCAATTCAATAAATTCCAGCTTACGCTAAATTTCTGAAAGATATGTGTAAAGAAGAGGCGTTCAAATAGTCATGTTCCTAAGAAGGTGCTATTAACTGAGCAAGTCAGTTCCATAATCCAGCATTGCACTGCTCCAAAATTCAAAGATCTAGGCACTCCAACAATTTCATGCATAATAGGGAATCATCAAGTAAAGCGAGCTCTCCTAGATTTGGGTGCAAGTGTAAACCTTCTTCCTTATTCGGTTTACTTGCAACTCGGATTAGGAGAATTGAAGCCTACCTCCACTATTCTCCAATTGGCAGATAGGTCAACCAAACAGCCTCGTGGTGTTATCGAAGATGTGATCATCAAAGTAGATAAATTCTACTTCCCAGTGGACTTTATTGTGCTCGATACCGAGCCAGTTCTGGAGCCAAGGAGGCACATTCCAATGATCCTTGGTCGTCCTTTCCTTGCGACAGCAAATGCAAGCATAAATTGCAGGAATGGCGTCATGGACTTATCTTTTGGCAATATGAAGGTGCGCTTAAATATTTTCAATGCCAGTAATTGCCCTTCAGATGATAAGGAGTGTTTTTTTGTTGATGCCATCAATGAATGTGTTGAAGAGATGGCTCCATTTGCCTTGACAAAAGATCCACTAGAAGCATGCCTGTCTTACTTTGATGCTGAGTCATTTGATGTTGAGAAAAATATTGAAGAGGTAAATGTCATTCTTAATGGAGCCAATATGCATAACATTCCACCATAGAAAATTTCTATTGAGCCACTTCTACCATTGTCAAGTGAACCACCTACGCCATCTTTGAAGTCTCCACCAGAGCTAGAACTGAAGTCGTTACCCTCTCATTTGAAGTATCTTGGACTAGAAAACACTTTTTCATTGCATAATTCATTCCCGGATAAGCAACTATTTTAACTTTAAAAGGAGACTTCACCATAGTATGCTGACATTATGAATTAGAAGGCATCAAGAAAGAAGACAGTTTGACCAGATCGGAAGGATTGGTACTTTGAAGATTCCGTGTCTACAGAAGGAGTTGAGTCCGTCACTTTGACGGATCCCATTTACTCCACCTAATCATCCAGGTATCACGTCGCCTACCGACGTTAAATGTATGAATTGTAGATAGGATTTTTCATTTATGTATTTTTTTTTTCTCTCTCTTTAATTTTATCTTTTATTTTAGTAGATTAGTATATTAGGATAATTTAATTTGTTTTGTAGGATTTTTAATTACTTGTGCAGGATACAAGTTGTGCAATGATGACTGCGCTGTGCTTGTTTGGAGGAAAATAAAAAATTTCATGGCATACAAAGAAGAAAAGGTTGATTTGCGTAGAACAGATCATTTTTTGGATCCAAACATCGATCAAACCATCTACGGTAGTTTGCATTGTGTAGATCTCGAAAAAATACCCAAAATGAAAAAAAAAATTCATCCAAAACGGACTTCCGATGATAAAGTTATGGCCGTTTGAAGTTTGCATTAAAAAAAAATAAATAAAAAAAAGAAGATCTAACCCAGCAACAGGCTCGGGCGAATGATTGCCTGCCCATGGGCGACCATCACCCGGGCAGGATTTTTTTTTGGGGAAAGTAGCAGTGCCGGGCGCAAGATCGCTCGGCTTGGAGGTGACAGTCGCCCTTGGCGACCCAGCGACGAAGAGGACAGTGACTGCCAGGCGAATCATCGCCCGGATCGACGGCAACTATCGCTCGGGGGTCTTTACCGGCAGAGAAAGCTTCAGCACCGGCAAGGCGGCGACCATCGCCCAGCCACACAAATATCCGGCGACAACCAGCATCCTATACCATTGCCGGGTGATCACGGTGACCATCGCCCGGAAATTTCTTTCGGCGATAACTACAGACCATCGCCTGGGTGGAAGAACATCGTTTCAAATGGTCGCCTATGGCAACTCATTAGGAATAAGTAACAACAACGCCTGGAATAGCAACGGTGGTTGTTTTTTCTTCGGCCGGAATGGTTTGGTTGTTGATTACAGCGTCAATTACAGTGGCTGAATTGGGATTGTGAATTTGGTGTTTTACAAAGGATCCGCATAATTATCTATAGGTGTTAATAAATTGATTGATTCATTATAGAGAGATGATGGCTTGTGAGTGTTTTATGAACTTTTGGGTTATGAGCACAGTGATCTGAAATTGTGACTGGAGTGTTTAGATTTGGATTGTTAATTACAAAAGTTTGGGGTTGATACTTGTGGTGACTGTGGGAGTTTGGGTACTGTTTAGTGGTTGATTGGGTTGTTGCACTTGGCTGAATTATAATTTGTGGGTGGTGATTGCAACTGAGTGAGTTTGTGATTTTGTTAACGGGTATTATTTGGGTGATTGTTTATTCATTGATTGTTGGGTTATGAAATTCATCAGGTAAAGTCTGCACTATAATTGATGCTTATATCATGGTGCAATTTTTTCCACTGCCTACCACATCAAATTACCTAAACCCATTATCCTTACATCTTTCCAAATTACCATATTCCATCTCTACATAAACCACCACCAAATTCCTTCCATCTTACCATAATTCATTATAATTCCCTACAATCACAATCTCCACATTTCCTATCCCATTAGAATATTTCCTACCCCGGCTGCCGCTGATGACATTGATGAACACCTAATTACTTGGTTGGTGAGGTGACCCAACTCCGAGCTGAAGTTCAAGAAATTCTTGAGGACCAAAGGATAATTCGTCAGGATCAAAGATCGATGATGGACAAGATATGCACTCTTATGATTCATAACGGGCTTAATTCCGATGCTCTGCCATCTCTATTCTGGCTATCCTGTCAGGTGCTTTCGTTCTTTATTTTTATTTTCTTTTTAGTTCTTATTTTTCTTGCTTTTGATTTTTGCCTAGTGAGGACACTGTCCAATTCCAGTTTGGGGGCATAATGTCTGCTTTAGTTGTATTAAAATACTCTAGTACTTCAATTTAAAAAAAAAAAAAAAAAATCAATTCTTTTTCTTTGGCATATTGACTTTAATTCAAGTATTTGCAAATTGTTAGGAGGATTAAGACACTTATATACTTTTTAAAATTCTTTTCTAAGATCGTCTTGAATCCCTAATTTTCGTACTTTATTTTATATGGGTTTCATTACCTATTATGATAGGAATTTTAGTAATTGTCAGTCCCTGATGGATTTTACACACACACTAGAATTTTATCTATGGGTATTTGTATTGTTGGTTGAATTCTGATGACTATGGATGGATATGAATTAGTGAACTTTGAAGGTTATTACTATGGCAAAAAAAAAAAAAAAAAAAAAAACAGAAAAATATATATATATATATTTCGTAACCCTTTCATGGAGTAATCGGGGCTCATGTTTCATATGCATAGAGTGTTCGCATGAAGAAATGGGGGTAAGGATAAAGAAAAAAAAAAAAAAAAAAAGAACAAAAAAATAATATTTTGCCATAGAAAATAATTTGAGAAGGGAACTAAGGAATTGAAGTTATAGAAGTTGGGTTCAATTAAAAAGACATTACTACATATGTGATTTGCTAGTTCACAAATTTCACAACATTGGGGATTGATTTTGCTATTGTTCTTGTTATATAAGTGTGTGGGAAACATTGGGATTAAGTATGAAAATAGGGACTAAAGAGTATAGTCAGATGATAATTTTTAAAGTATTTTTGTGTAGTTTTCCCTTTGATTATTATGATGATATGAGAATAAGTTGATTGCTAAAGGATTGAATTGTGTTGTATGTTTGTGGGTATCATCTCTGGAAACCCTCACGAGACTTCGCTCGTCCACTAGGGGTAACCTAGGGGTTTAAAAGGTTTGTTGCATATGCTAAATGCAATCGTGATTCCCATGAAAGCGGCATTTATGTTTTCTTTAATTTTATTGCTATGGGACTAGTAATATGTAAGTTTAGGGGTGTGTTAGGTGCTGAATGTTACACATTTTAGCCCCTTAACTTGCATGTTTTATTCAGTTTGTAGTAGTTTATTTTAGATTTTACATTGTTTTATTATTTTTATTTATTTCAGGGCTTTAATTGTAAAATCAGTCAGGACCAGTGATTCTGAGATTTAAAAGATGACATTTCGTGGGACCGAGCAACGTTGAAGATCCAAGTCTAATTATACTTAGAAAATAGTCCAAAAGAAGCCACAAGTTGATAAGAATGGAAAGAAGAACAAAAGGAAAACTCCTTATCCAAAAAGGAAACTTTCGCCAAAGTTGGTAGCTCGAACCCGTTTTGGTAATCTGGCTATATCTCTTTCCTCAAGCGTCAAAACAGCTAAATTCTCACGTAGGTTGAAAGGAAATTTGAGGAGCTATAATTTTGTATTTCACGAGGATTCCCTAAAATAGCTGTTTACCTTGTCAAAATTGGCCTAGAAGTCTGTACAAATTTTGGAGTCCTATGTATGTCTCCTATATGAAAAAGGGAACTTTAAGGCTGATCTTTTATTATTTAAAGGGAGGTCCTCTACAACATTGAAGGATCATACAGATGAGCTTGAAGTTGCCATCAGAGAGGAGCATTCAGAAGAAAGAAGATATCGATCCATGGCGGTGAAGATGTCTTCCTCAACCATGAAGAATTCCACTCCAGTCATGCTTGGCTAAACGTTTTGCTAGGGTTGTGATGTAGCCTTAGCTTAGCACCCTGGTTTGATTGTATTGAATTATTGGAGAATAATTTTTATCATGCATGATTGTGTAATCTATAGGATTTTTAATTGAATTTTCAATAAGAATCGGTTTTAAAATTTTAATTCAATTACAAATATTTTTCTATCTTGTCTTAGATATTTTAATCTTGTGATTGAACACAACTCATTCACTTCTTGTAGTTGTGAATGAGATGATTATACAATGGTTTTTATCTGAATATAATGTTAGAGATTTGATGGATTATGCTTAGAAAAGATAGGCCATGCTACACCCTAGAGTAAAGTAGATAGGTAGATGGTTTATGCCAATCGAAGATAGTCTATGTTTAGCTTTAAATTATATTATTTTCTAGCTGAATTAATATGTGCTTGTAGTCATGATTAATTCCATGTGCATGTTATATATCTCCAATAAATTGATACAATTAACTGGTGGTGCAACGTTAGTGGTGAAATCATACCCCTAGTCCTCTTTCTCTATTTTTTACATCCTATTTAATCATTGTTCTTTAGTTTATTTTATTTTCTGTTTAGTTAATTTAGAATTAATCATCATAATTCGATTATCCTACTTTCAAGTTAATTTGGAATTTAAAAAATTTGTTAACAAACTTATTTTACACAAGTCCCTTGGGTACGACACCTTTACAAGTAAACCCTATCTGCAAAGATTCGTGCACTTGCGAGTAGTACATATAAATCTCACAACAATTTTCGTATTAGCAAGAGCTTCATTGCCGTCGCCGCCATCAATCTCCGACTCCGCTATCCACACTCTGCCTTTATTTTTAGGGTTTCCCTTCGCAATTGGATCGATAAAGACTTCTTCTGTGCTGCCCTGTTGCATTTTAAATGTTTTAAAAATTATGTTAGGGCTCGTTTGTAAAATATTTTTTATTTTCATCTTTTAGGTAAAATATTTTTTTTATTAGTACTTTTGAGTATTTGGCAAAGGTTTAGGTTTAGGTTTAGGTTGAGGTCGAGTTCTTCGGTTGGGACATATAAAATAACTTACCAAAAATTGATGAATAAATTATTTTTGTAAAATTTTAATATTTTTTTCGTTCGTAAATATT